ACAACGAATGACAGTGCGTGAAGAAGGAGGAAAAAAACATGATACGATGGTTACAAAGCAGGAGGTGATTACAGCAAATAAATCCCCCTCCCCCGCCGTTCATGGAAAACAAACAAACGGCTAAAGTCGTATGAAGATAAACTGATAATTCAGGTGAAATGTGATTAATTGACACAACAAATATAGCTTATCGGGATTTTGTGAATGAACGAAATTGTTCAAAACGCTATTGCCTGGGTAATTATTAAGAGAATATTAAATGAAGTTCAGAGGAAATTGAGATAATCTTTGTCATGAAAATCAATTATCCATTTATCTCGACAGCACGTGTCATTTAAAAACAAGTAAAAAAACATTAAGTTCGGCTGGGCCTAACTTTTAATACCCTCCACCTTAGGGTAAAAGAAACATTAGAAGAAATGTGGCAAAAATCATTAAAATGCCGAATATCGGGAGGTACCGTTATATGGGGGCCACACCAAAACGTGGACCTATAATTACAATGTTTCGCCACACGAACTAGGACCCATTATGACCCACAAATACCAATTTTTAGACAAATCCGTGAAAAAATGTGGCAAAAATCATAAAATTACCGAATATCGGGAGGTACCGTTATATGGGGGCTATATCAAATCATGGACCCATACATGCAATGTTTCGCCACCGGAGCTGGAACCCATTATGACCAACAAATACCAATTTTCAAACAAATCCGTGAAAAAATGTTGCAAAAATCATCAAAATAAGGAATATCGGGAGGTACCGTTATATGGGGGCTATACCAAATCATGGACACATACATGCAATGTTTCGCCACCGGAGCTGGAAACCATTATGACCCACAAATACCAATTTTTAGACAAATCCGTGAAAAAATGTGGCAAAAAACAAACTAAAATACCGAATATCGGGAGGTACCTTTATATGGGGGCTATACCACAACGTGGACCTATACATACAATATTTTGCCACACACTCAGGGACCTGTTATGACCTACAAATACCAATTTCCAGACAAATCCGTGAAAAAATGTGGCATAAGTCATCAAAATACCGAATATCGGGAGGTACCGTTATATGGGGACTATACCAGAACGTGGACCGATATATCTCATTTTCAATACCAACCATCCTAGACACAATGCAAATAGCTCTGCTAAATTTTGGCGCTCTACGTCAAATATTGTGGGCTGTATCGCGATTTCAACAGACAGACGGACGGACAGACAGACGGACGGACAGACAGACAGACAGACGGACATCGTTAAATCGACTTAGAATTTTATGCTGATTATGAATATATATACTTTATGGGGTCTAAGACGAATATTTAAGGGTGTTACAAACGGAATGACAAAGTTAATATACCCTCCTTTCCAAGGTGGAGGGTATAATGAATATTTTTTGAAATGTTTATACTCTAATATCAATAAATAAATGTCGGTTTAAAGCAGTATTTTATGAATACTGATTAAAAATAATATTAATGCAATAGAAAAAATTGTTATTGTGTATCTATAAAATATATTTGGCAAAAGGTCGATTTCAAGAAATTGTTGTAAATTTACTGATATATATAATAATTTATTGTATAATAATAATTATTTTAAATAAAATTATATTAAATTTCTTTTTATTATTTTCCTGTAAAAAATAATTTTTGACCAAAATTCCCATACCCACCGCCGTATTATTGCCAGCGAAAAAATAACCAAACAATAATAAAAAACGCTAATTAACATAAAGTTTTGTAACTTATGTGAGCGTATCCTCACTTAAGTACATAACATAATGAAAGGATGTTCACTAATATTTAATAAAGTGTCCCGGCGAGTAAAAGTTCAACAACAGCAGCAACAACAATGGCAACAAAACGGGAATATATGTAAACATGAGTTTATAAGTACCGCAAACAACACATTTTTACAAACATGTTAGTAAACTGCTGTCATTAAATTTTAACGGCTGGAAAGATTAAAGTCCGGCTAAAGACAGACGATTTCTAATGTTTATGAACATTGCCTTATACATGTATATTTTTTGGGTTCTCCATATTTTTAAAGATGTATTGAAAGATTTTATCTATAATTCTAGAGATTTATTTCAATAACTTTTCGTAACCTTAAAGTTCTAAAATGATGTTAAACGGATAATGTAAAGAATAAAGCTAAGAACCTGAAATTTGATACAAGCATCAGGGTTGGAAAGTTAGTTTGATGTATGAAGGTGGATTTGGAATTGTGGACTAAGTATGCTAAATGGTACTAAATCTAAATTTTAGATGTGTGTACTAAATAGTACTAAATTTGGTATTGAGTGTAGGAATAAAGCTGAAATCGTGAAATTTGATATTGAGGTCTCTGTTCGTATGGAGTTGGTTTGGGAACTGTAATATAGTTGTACGAAAAGAACTAAGTGGAGTATTGGGTGAATGGATAGAGCTTGGATCTTGAAATTTTATATTGAGGTCACTGTTGGTTGTAGGACTCAAATTAGGTGGTGGCCAATTTTTGTTATGAAAAGATAATTTAGTATGATGTATAAAGTTTTGTTCGGAAATTTTGTCTAAGAAATAATGAACAAAATCTGAATTTTGAGTACTAAAATGATCTGGTGAAACGAATCTAAAATTTTAGGGTGGACCTTACCCTGACGAATTAACGGGCACTTGCTAGTAGGTACCACCCTGTATTTTGATAATTTTTAACGCATTTTTGAGACGTAGTTTTTGAAATTTGTTAATGAAAATTATTAATTTCAAAATGTATTAAGACCGTTCGAGTACTAATTCTCTGCACTTATAAACATATTTCTAAAATTTTTACTTTCCGAATGAGAGAGGCTATTAAAGTTCGGCCCCGCCGAGTTTTACAGTTTTTTTAATTCTTACAATTTTAATTGTTACTACTCGTCATAAGCATTCCATTAGTACCCATATAGGTCCGTTGGAATTTTCCAGGAAGTCACATTGACCATTTGAAGTATCCTTTTCAAAGGATTTCTCCGAAAATTATCATAACTCGGATTAGATTGAGTCTCCCTATCCTTTTGTAAGAAAAACCATGCCACCGACGCCAATATTGGAGCGGCAGTATTTCAGGAAGTCATAGTAGCTCACTGAAATAAATTATTCAAAAGATAAGCTCGATAGTTCGAAATCGTTTCAAACTCTCTATCTTTCTAGTGATGTTAATTGGTAGTACTCTTCATAAGCATTTCATTTTTAACCATAATGGATCGTCAGCGTTTTCCGGGATGTCACAGTGGCCAAGTGAAATGACTTCTCAAAAGGTTTCTCCATAAATGACCATAAATCGGAATCAGTCCAAAGTCCCTATCTGTTTTGTAATGCCAATAGATAGCACTCTTCACATGCTTTTGAAAAATAAAAATATTGGAGCGACAAAATTGTTGTTTAAGGCGCTGTGGCCAATGGAAATATCTGCGAGGTTGAGTATGTGGTTCTCATATATGCTAATTAAATTCGGAGTTTATTCGAACGAACTTAATTTTTTCTATGAATTTTCGAATCGCGTATATTCAATATAAAATTAGCCAGGACTTCTTTAGATTACTCAAAAACCCAACTCTTTTTAGGAGGTTCGTTAAAAATTCACAGTTATTAGTGAAGACTTATTGTTCACAAGTACCCTCCAAAGTTCTAACACCATTATTGGACCTTTAGATTTATATAATATATTGGCCAACAAATCTTAAAATAATACTCAAAAATGTCCTTTTTGTCAGAAAATGTCTTTACAATTCAGGAGTTCGATTTTTGCCCAGAAAGTTTTTTAATGACGTCAAACTCTATTAGCCAGGAAATTTAAATATTTGATTATTATCATCTACCGCGAGATCCTTAAAAAATTCTTTAAAGGATTCATATTAAAATAAATTAATCTTTAAAAGTCAAAGAAACCCAGCTCCAAAATTGTACTTCTATTCGGTTCAAAAATGTACATTATTCAGAATTTCGCACACTTATCCAAACCCCATATTAACCCAACATTCCATCTAATAACCATTTCAACTTCTGGTACCCTTTTAGTTCAAATTAAAGAAAAACATCAATTTTCAACGCCTACTTCAACAGTGAACCACATGAAAAACTTCAAAGTTCTAACTAAACCCGCTAAATACCATGACAAAGCATTTGGTACTATTTAGTAGTTTTTGTACATTTTTACTTCAAATCTCCTTTTTTCGTCAGTTGCTCAGTCATCTTTTAGCTCTTTGATATGTTTCCGCCCAGGAAACATCATTGGCGTGAACTAATACATCGCACTTTAAAACTTTTACCTAATGTTGCTTTCAAAAATTGGGAACATAAACGAGATTAGGCAAATATAGTGCATCTATAAACTTGATCTTAATTTGGAGAACTTTGTGGAAATTTTTACGCAAATTGAGTGTTGATCCCACTATGAGTCATACGAAAGACGTGGCTAGATCGAGTCAAAAGCCCCAATAACGATGACGTAAAAAATGCATAATTATCAATAATAATCATAAATTTTATAATTATTTATTTTGATTTTAAACTGTATGCGATTAGATTAACGAAAGACGTGTATAAATATACTGCAAACGTGTACAGCGGTTGCATCATATTGCAGATAACCACTCCAATACCACTTTCCAGAACAATTAAGTAAATATTTCTTCTATATCTGCAACATAAAAAAAAATAAATAAAAAATGTTCCTCAATACAAATATAAAACATTTTTTTGGACGCTTAAAATGGGGTTTACCTATTTTTTTGGCCCTTGCAACTCTGCAACTCATTTATTTACTAAAGTAATACACACACCGCAAAAATATCGAAAAGTAGATGGGGAGAAGCAGAAATAAGTAATTGAAACTCATTAAAAGTTATTTGACCCTTCTTCATTTTCTTTCTGTCTAGGCGTAAACATTACGAAAAAAACGAAAACGCAAGCAAAAAAATATTCAATTGATTTTCATTGTTTTCTTCTCTCTTTTTGCTTTCAGCAGCATTCAACGTTTACTAATCAACGGGATATAATAACAATCAAAACCAAAACAACAACAGCAGGCATCCAGCAACAGCATTGCTAACGAATCAACAAAATTTCAGTCAACAACAACAACAACAATCATCATTTACTACTGCAACTACAAATCAGGTCTTGAATACAAACAATCCCATAGTTACCGGTGCCACAATAACAACAACAACTCCCTCGTCAGCAACTGGAGCAGCAGCAGCAGCAACAACTGGTCTGGGTCAAAATTCGATTAAGAATAAGCATTCAATAACAACGCATCATCCCCATTTACAACAGCAACAACAACAACACCACTATCAACCGCAACATCATCAGCATCCCAGCAACAACAACAACCATCACAGCAACAACACAACAGCAGCAACGATGGGTCCCACCACATTGAATGGCACACAGCCACCACCAGCTCAGCTCCAGCAATATCAGCAACATCTACAACAGCCACAGGTAACGACTGATACGCAACAACAGCATCTGCATCATCCACACCAACAGCCGCATCAGCAACAACCTCAACAACAGCAGCAGCATCAACAACAACAACAGCAATACCAACAAACCGGTTCAGATCAGCTGTCGAAAACAAACGTCTACATACGCGGCTTGCCCGAGGGAACGACTGATAAAGATTTAGTTATTTTATGTTCAGAGTAAGTAGAGCGATTGTAGGAACATAATTTGGCGACAACTTCACTTCGATTTGGGAGGTTGGCAAAAGATTTGCAGGAAGGAAAATCATCAGGGAAGAAGATGAGGGTAGCGGAATTTTGTGTAACATAATCTTATATAAAAAATTGAAAAAGATTAGTCAATAGTTAAGATGGTGTAATTTCAATTTCGAATTTCGTGTTGAATTCGAAAAAATGGCGACAGAACAATTGTTTTCGAAAAAATCGGAGAGAATTGCAATTTTCAAATAGAAAGAGAGTTTCTCAGTTTGTGTTAATTTGCGCGGTTAAAATTTAGCTCTTACAATTTTCAAAAAAAAAAATATTTTCAAAAGTATGCCAGAATTTCCCAAAAACAAACGCTATTTTCGGAATTATAAAAAAAGTTTTATATGACTTTTTTCCGAAAACCGAATATATAAAATATTAACTTTTGAGATAATTACAATTTTCGAATTTCGAAATAATTGAAGTTGTGTTGGATTGTGCTCGGTTTATGCTAATTTGTCCTCTGAAAATATTTTTCCAAGTCTCTTAAGATTTTGGAAAAAAAAAAATTAGATAGTATTCCAGAATAGCAATTTTCGAATTTAGGTGGACAATATGGCTTTTAGGAAATTCGTACTAAAAGGTACTAAAAACTATTAAAAATTTAGCATTTTTGGCTAATATTCTCTCTTTTGGGCCTAGAAATTGAAATTTTCACGTTTAACACTCGTTTTTGGAAAGGCACATAAAAGTACTCAACCGTATTATTGGCGCTTACTTTTAGAGCATTAACCGTGAAATTTCACATTTAATTCGCCATAGTTGTTGTTTTTTGGAGTGTTTACTAAAGAAGGTACTAAACGTTCTAATTTTGTGGTAAGACAGAATTTTTGGAAACTTCAAACTTAAATTCACCTTAGCTGCGATTTACGACTTTAATTACTAAAAGACTAGAATTTCTTAATTTAGTATCGGAAATATTTATTACAGAATATTCTAAGCCTTTACGTTCAGGATTTTGGCTACAAATACACATTTTTAGCACATTTTTTTACCACTAGTACTGCTTAGTACTATAATAAGTAATTCCCATACTAAATTGAGAAATTCAAGTTTCGCGCTACTGGTATAAAAATCGATGAAGAGGAGTTTTTCATAAGCAGTACTAAAAAGTACTACAGGGTGAGATATAAAAACTGCAACAAAGCAAACGCCATAATTTGTACATTTTTTTTTTAATTTTATTGAATGAAAGCATAAAATGTCGGAAATTGCATCAAATTTTAGAATAAGTTTAGATTTGTTCGAATTGGTCACCTTTGGCACTAATTAAGGCTTTCAAACGGCCAATGAAACCGTCACACGCTGCCCGAATGTTGCTCTACGGGATTTTGATCGAATTTTTGGTATCTTTTAGTGCTAACCTTGCTTTCCAAAATACTCCAAACACAATCGTCCAACGGATTGGTATTCGGAGATTTTGGTGGCCATTGTGCGCTGGAAATGAAGCGAGGAACCTCATTTTGTAACCATTCTTGAGTGGCACATGCTGAGTGCGATGGTGCTGAGTCCTGTTAGAATGACCAAGGTCTGCGGCCAAAATGTTTGCGAGTCCAAGGCTTTAATACACGCTCCAGAATATTTTCGCGATAATGTTCGGCATTTATTCTGATGCCACGGTCGATTAATACTAGCGGAGAGCGACCATTGGCTGTTATGGTAGCCCACACCATCACTATGGCCGGTGCTTGAGTTCTGGTGGCCAACCGAAGGTGAACATTTTCAGCTGACCTTTTTGGCAAGTAAACACGATCATTTGTTTGTTTGCAAACTGCTGGACAACGAATGTTTTCTCATCGGATAAAACCAAATTCGATTTCACCATTTCGGCCAAGCAAAGCAACTCTTCAGCTCTTTTGAGTCCATTTTCTTTCTGTGGCGATGTAATTTCTTGCACTTTTTGGAATTTCAATGGCTTTACCCCGACACAATATTTGCCGAATGAAATATATGTTCACGGTCACGAGCCATTTTTGGGCCACTGCGACGCTGGTTTCGATCAAGTCGCTTATTTACTTTTCGAACCATTTCTACTGATGTTGCTGTTTTCTTCTGTCCACTTCCTTGACGTCGGACTACGCTACGGGTATCACGGTTACGAGCGATGCTACAAGACATAAAAGATTTATTCACATTTAAATGCTGCAGTGCTCTTACGATAGCCACTTGTGGATTTCTAGCCAATTATAAAGAAATCACGCTATCACGTTTGAATTTCATCTCGAATAACTTTTTTTCTGGAAAATTCTCACCAAAATGCTTTTGCACGCTTGTAAACAATATAATGAGCTGTCACTTGCATAATTTTAACAGCTGTCGGACGAATGACTTAGAAATGACAGCAGTCTGAAGTTGGTTGCAGTTTTTTCATCTCACCCTGTATGCGACACTACACTAGTGATTCTTCACTCCGAATTTCAGTATTTAAGCTCTCTACTTTTAGTACTTTTCGTACGCTTTTTTAACAGATATCCAGCACCAACTCTTTTTCCTAACCCTACTGAAGCCAATACCAAAATTTTAAAATCCATTCCCCCAAAACCATTTAGTGCAGTTCTTACTCTTAGTACACCTTTCCACAACCACATTCTGCTTCCCAAAATCTCATGCCAAATTTCAAGTATTACCTCCATCCATATGCAAAACTCCAAATGGTATAAAATCTAGTGCAGTTTAGTACTTTGGTACAACCATTGTCCGAATTTTCAAAAAACCTTTAATTCGTCTATCATACGCAACATCAAAGACCCTCATTTCAAAGTTCAGATTTCTAGTTTTTCCCTTTCCGAAGTACACAATTTAATACTATTTAATAACGATGTGATCTGGTTTGTTGGTGCCCTTCGAGATCACTTCAAAAAGTGATTTTATAACGGTAAATAAAGAGAAGATCCGACGTTTTTGACCTTTTAAATTTAAACGTGCATAATTTATATTTTTAATAGCGGATTTCTAATTTTTTTTCTTTGAAAGGTGTGTTACCTTTCAAAAGTTTTGCCTTTCAAACTAAATAAATATTAGGATAAGAAACTCGGATTTTTTCTATATTTACCATTGTAAAATCCATAATATGGAGGCAAAATATGGAGGTAATATATCAACTCAACCGCCCAAAAGGTGATTCTAATTCCAAATTTTAATTTTTCCAACTCTATTCCCTCACAAAATATAAAATTTAGTACCATTAGGAATTTTTTTTTAAATTTTTTATTGATATTCTATGAGTTTTGTATCGGAGGTACTAGAAATGGTCTCGTCGATTAGTTTCTGAAAAATATATTTCAACCAACATATCAACCCAGCTGATGCTATTTCCTCCCCTTTTATATGGTATTAGATTTTTTGGAAAATTGATCAATTTGTGGTGAGATAACAAAAGCATTGGACCTATATATCTCATCTCCCCTCTTTGCCTAATGTTATTAGAAATATTAGAATGTATAAAGCTTGAGGATAATCTAAGAAAACTTACAAATTTAGGAAAGTTCCATATGTATATCCTTTGAACGGGAGGTACCAGAGAAGGTGCGTCGAAGTAGTTCAGAATTTTTTAATAATTTCGGCATGTTTTCCAAGCAGCTATTTAAATTGTTTAGCTAGTTCTCAATGTCTTCAGGCCATATAGGCTTTAAGTTATATTCATTCTAGAGTTTTTTTCCCATATTCCCAACAAGTTTTCTTATGCATATTTCATAAAGCCAATTACCCCCTCCCCCCAATACTGAAGTACTTGAGATTAGAAGAAACTTTTGTTTTGGCGTTCAAACGCTTTTATATCTTTGCTTAAACGCTTACATGAATTGTCATTATTGCCAGTGATTTAACTTTTCTTTTTATCGGTGTTTCTTTTCTTCTTTGGTCTTTCTTCTTGCAGGTATGGTACTATAGTTTCGGCCAAAGCTATATTTGATAAGACAACAAAAAAATGTAAAGGTAAGTTGAGAACGTGCTGCTGCCATGGGAGTTTTTCGTGGCCGGGTTTTAACTTTGTTTTTATCATTAACGTAATTTTTATCTTCTCATAAAGATTCATAATGAAACTTTGTTATTTTTTCTTTGTTTGTTTTGCTCCAACCAACAACAAAACCACAAAAAAAAAATATTTCAAAAAAAAAACGAAAAACTTATCTCTCACATATTTCTGATACTATTTTTTTCTTCTTCTTCTTCATTGTTTTGTGGATTTGTCCTTTTTTTCTTCTTCTCTTTTTTTTTTTTTTGGTACTTATTTTCAGGTTACGGCTTTGTAGATTTCGAATCACCGGCATATGCTGAGAATGCCGTAAAATCTCTTCAAGCTAAAGGCATTAAAGCACAAATGGCAAAAGTGGGTGTTTGGGTGCTCCTTAGGCCGGCCATAGTACGTTGTTTTTATTCCTTTTTTCAGTTTTCATTTATCACGTTGCCTTCAGTTTTGTTTTGTTTTTGTTTCCCGTTGTACACTACCTTTTTTTGTTTGTGTTGCATGCTTGATAACAAAACCAAAAAATCGAAAAAAAAAACGAAAATACTCTATGTATAATTAGAACAAAAACCAAACCTGGGGACCAAACAAATCCAACGGACCAGCTAAGACTAAATGGACGAAAAGAACGACGTATCAAATGAACCACAACGTACCAACCGAGAAACAGGACATTTCTTTATAATAGACTGGATGGACTCATTCCTTTTTTTGGGAGGGATTTTCGTATTTCCAGTTTGTTTTTTCTGTTTTAGACTTTGGACAGTATCACCAACACCATCATCACGACTATTACATTACTTCCTTCTAACGCCTCTAACGCAAAGACATTCATTTACAGGAGGACTTTTTGTTTGTTGTTATGTGCTAATTTTTTTCTAAAGGAAACAAAACAAACATAAAGCTAACAGACAGAGAAAGCAAAAAGAATGAAATTTAAAAAACTTAAAAAAATCCTGCTCAGTTTCAGAATCTAATGATGAGTGAAAGAAAGGTATTTCGTTACAATAGAATTTTCACAATAGCGAGATCTCATTTAATTTGGTAACTGTACTGAAATAAAAGTGTTTTTTCCAAACAATTAGAATAAAACAGTGAATAGAGTTGTTATATATATTATTTTTTAGTATTAAATAAAGTTTTCACCTGGCATGAGTGATGGGGTCCACTGGTAACCATTGGAATTTAATCTAAAAAAAAATCAAATTTCTATAAAATAAATCCGATTTCAGTTACTCCATCACAAATGTAGGTCTTGACCCGATATATAAATATTTATATTTATTAGACATTATAGAAATGTTAAATTTTATAGAATTTTTTTGTATGTATATATGATTTTATATTTGATTTTGATTTTTGATTTTTATTCATTATTTTTATTTGCTTACAAACAGCTGGACAACGTATGTTTTCTCATCGGAGAAAACCAAATTCGGCAGTTCACCACTTTCGGCCAAGCGAAGCAACTCTTTAGCTCTCTTGAGTCTATTTCTTTCTGTTGCGGTGTTAGTTCTTGCACTTTTTTGGAGTTTCAATGGCTTTACCCCGAGCTAATTTTTCAATATTTGGTGAATGGAATATTGTGAATAGATAGACTAATGACTATCTAGGTAGACTCTCAAACATATATGGTCATATATGGTAGATATGGTCCCAATTTTATTCATCGCAATATTTATAACAATCTTGGGGTAGTAGCGAATATTGATATCATTTTGAGAAATCATAATACCCGCATATAAGGCAAAGGATTTCCAAGATTTATTTCGAATGCGAAAATGCAGACAGATGCAGACAGAGAGTTAAATTACCTAACAAAACCCGAAACGTCAAATTACAGTTGATTTGGTCTCCATATTTCCTAAAATGTGGACCTACAATTTTTAGGAAAAATAAGTTAATATATTCCATTTTCAAACCAAACATTTCAGGTATATTAGCACTGCTTGTGCAGGGTATGAAATATTCGAAGGGTCTCGAACCCAAATTTCTAAAATGTATCGTATTCCTTTGAGAACTATAAAGGGGCTATTCTAAATTGTACCAAGGGCATCAAAACAACTAAAATCAGTGAATGTCGCTGCTTAAGGCTTATCCCAAATATTCTATGGATATCAAATAAAAAAGTCTAAAGCTCAATTCAGTAGAGCAATTTTAATACTAAACATCGTAGTTTTAATGAATATTTGAGGAATTAGAGACGCGTTGGCGACCAGATGCCATTGAAATTTTATATGATGGTATGCTTTGGATTTTAATAGCTATTCAGGTTAAAGAGAGCCTTCAAATTAACCTTTAATTCACTTAAATTTCATTCTGTGAATCCCCAGTTTTTAGTTTTCATACAAAAGGAAACTGTGGAACCGGTGGAACAATGTAATTTATGCAACCCTAAAAAACCTCTATTAGAGTCAAACGACACAATTATATGTCGCTCTCTCTTAAAGTTTGACAAATGGTGGCGTCGTTTATTTTGTATAACTTCGAGGAAAATTAGATGAGTAGCAGTCTTCCAACTGGCCTGTCTAAATATTTCTCAATTTTGAATCGGATTTTATCTCTTGGTCTATGAGGTATCTTTTGGGCCATATCAATTGTTTTAAATCATTTATGCTCATAGAAATATAAAGTATCGACTATTAGGAAAATGTAATAAAAATGTATCGATAAGATTTCGATACTTTGTAGTAATTTATTTTAAGCAAAACAATTACATGTTTTTTGGCCAAACAAAAAGTTTTATTTTTTTTTTAATCGGAATTCTTCCTTGAATTTCTTCTGTTTATGTAGAATTTGTTAATGTAGATAGGATATGTTATTATTATGTTCCTATATATTGTAATATTAGTGTAGATATAAATTTAAGTTAGGTTGTGATCAAGTTTACGATTTTATTAACTGTCCACAAATATAAACATTTATTAAAATAATAATAAAAGCATAATAATAGAAATGATAATTATAAAAATTGAAAAATAAAAAAATAACAATAGTAAATTAAATATTAAAAAAAATAACAATAATAATAATAATAATAATAGTAAAAATAATGATAATAATAATAATAATAATAATAATAATAATAATAATAATAACAATAATAATAATAATAATAATAATAATAATAATAATAATAAAAATAATAATAATAGTAGTAATACTAAAAATAGTAATAATAAAAATAGAAAATAATAAATCTATGTTGTTTTGAATAATAGTAATAACAATATTTATAATAGTAATAACTCTGTGCAACACAAAAAATAATAATTACAAGAAATACCCAGCAGATTATGAAAGTGCGGCATACAATATAAGACACGTGTGTTAGCGATTTAAAAATACACACACACACCAAAAAAAGTAATTATTTTCTTTTTAAGATTTCTTGAATTCCTTACATTTTAGGTATATAGTGTCTTCGGCAAGACAATTTTTGGTGGAAAATATTAACCTTCAAGCGAGTTTCCAAGGGATAATGGCCGGAAACTTCCTTTAAACGAGATCGTGGCAAACCCAAATATTTTACAAATTTATTTACCATGAAATTCTAAAACAGGGCTTAAAAGTCATGGGAACTTTAAATGTAACCTAAAAGCCAGGAATTCATGTAATTAAAATCACATTTTAGTTTTAAAGCCGTACCTAATGTTATTTTTTGCAAACATATGGCTAAATTAAATGGAAAATAGAAGTCAATCGTAAAAACTACTCGGAATCGTTGATAACACCAATTTAGGGTCTATACCACAATTGGACCGATATGAACCCTGATTTTGGTCTAAGAATGCGAACTTCTTTTGAGGTTTTACTCTAGAAACCGATACTTTCTTAATATGTTTTTAGTAGAATTTCATGATAAACATGTTTTGACAGGCTAAGTTCACGTTTAAAATTATTTGTAATTTTTTTTTTTTTTTTTTTTTTTTTTGAAAAAGAACAGAAAATATTTATTTTCGTGACTGCTTTGAGGATTAAAGTTCTCGAACAAATGAAATCACATATTGTTATTAGTAATGCTACCGAAGACATTATATATCAACAAGTAAGTAAGTTTTTCCGGGCCGAACTTGTAATACCCTTCACCATTTGGAAGGAACAGGAAAAACTTAAAAAAAAATCGTCGAAAAGTACAGTTTAAATGAAAAAATACACATGTGTGCAAAATTGTAGCCTTCTATATCAATTCGTTCGAAAGATAACGTGATTACAACAGACGGACAGACAGACACTTAGATAGACGGACTTCGCTAAAAACTTAGAATTTTACGCTGATTGAGAATATATATAGTTTGTTGGGTCTAACATGAGTATTTCGAGGAGTTACAAACGAATGACAAAGTTAATAACCCTTCTATAGTGTAGGAGAGGGTATAAAAATGACGAAAATTTCAAAATGTGTGAGAGGGGGACACTGGACCTCTCTATGCAGATTACTTTGCGATATAAACGACGATACACATGTCTTCTATTTTTAGAACTAATTAATAATAAACCACCATATTGGGGTCTATACGAAGTCCTGGACTTGCATAAGCGACTTTTGTCATAATTCATTACAATATTCAAATACAAAACTTGAAAAAACTTAGGAACTTCAAATAAGAAATTTTAAACCAATTTTAAATATTATGGTATATGGTACCTAAAATCGTCAAAATACCGAATATAGGGAGCTGTTTATATACGGGGCCTATACGAAGTCCTAGACCTGCATAGACAATATTCTGTCATAGACCGTAGTTCCCATTACGAAATCTAAATACGACATTTGAAACAACTCAGGTGAATAATGTCGCTAAAATCATCGAAATTCCGAATTTTGGGAGGTACCGTTACATGGAGGCTATACGATATCGTGGACCTATATAGACATTTTTCTTCTAGGTGATAAAGTGCATAGCAAGAACTTCTAGTATGGATTTTTAGACAATTCCATTGAAAAATTTAGCTAAAATCATCAAAATACCGAATATAGGGAGGTACCGTTATATTGGGGATATACGTTATCGTGGACCTATATAGACAATACTCTTCCAGGGGCTAAAGTACTTTTTGTGGATTTTCAGACAATTTCATTGAAAAATCGTGGGCCTGACAGAACTTCTTTTGTGGTTTTTAAGAAAATTCCATTGAAAGTTATGGCTATGGGGGGATATACGATATCGTGGACCGAAAAAGCCCATCTTCGAACTTGACCTGCCTGCAGACAAAAGACGGTGCAAAATTTTAGCCTCCTGTCATATTCGTTTTGACTCCAACGTGATTTCAACAGACGGACGGACCGGGCTCTTCTTAGAATTTCACGCTGATCAAGAATAATAAATAAAATTATTATTTCGATGAGTTACAAACAGAATGACGAACTTAATATACCCTCCATACTTTAAATGGTGGAGGATATAAAAAGACATTCTAAATAAATAATAAATGCTTGGACAATCCGTAAAGATCACAAAAATGTATAACAGTTCTTAATGAAGTAGATTTTTCAATACATATATCTATAAACAAAAAATATATTTCAATTAGTTCAAACGAACACCATACCCAAATTAAGTCAAAGCTAGGTTCTTCAATTGTCTCAATAATTCGAAAGAAATACCAAAAAAAAATCTAAATACATAATTCTAATAACATAATTTACAGTTACCCAATACCCCTCTCTGATGGGTATGGTGTCTTGTTTTCTATTCTAGTTAAAAAATATTTATTAAAAACAAAATACAACGTATCTTTTGTTATAGAAATTAAACCCTAGAAACTGAGATTTAAATAAAGTAATTTTGAGTAGACATGGACCGGCCTTAGATAACAATTGTTTTTTTTTTATACAAAAAAAGTTGAGTAGTATATATTTGTAGATACAAGCAAACATCATAATAACAATCTACATACATACATTCATTACTTACTTCATACAAATGACACCATACTAACCACACACGCATACACACACACATGTAGCTAACTACCAACATCCAACGTAATATTTATTCTATTATTAACCCCAATAACTATAACTAACTAAAAGTAAACAAAATACAACTTTGTAATGATTCTAAACTAACTGTAAATTTATTTTTGAAAAATTCTAAACAAACAAAACTTTTAACATCATCGACACCACAACTCCAAACCAAAAAATTCCAATCACCCATCCACCTACGAACAAATCAACCACGACAACAACAACCACAGCAACAAGAACAGGATCCAACAAATTTGTACATCACAAATTTGCCGCCATATTTCAAAGAGACTGATTTAGAGAAAATGTTATCGAAGTACGGACACGTGGTGTCGACCAAGATTCTGTGTGATGCCCAATTGAATTCTCGAGGTAATTGGAATTATGCCCTTAATGACAGCAATAAAAAACAAACATCCAAATAAAAAAATTATTAAATTGATTGTTTTTATTTCTTTTTCCATGTATTTTCACCAGGTGTCGGCTTTGCACGCATGGAAAATCGCGAAAAATGCGAACAAATTATACAAGTCTTGAATGGTACTACAATACCGGGTGCTAACGATCCATTGGTGGTTAAATTCGCTGACAGCGGCTCATCAGCCAAAAAGAATCTATTGAAAGCCCGTGATCCCAACAATCGTTCGCGTTTGGATATATCAGCCGGAACAGCAGGTATGGAAAGTATACCTGTAACCCCTGATCCAGGGGCTCAGCAAAATGGTACTACAGCTGGCTATACTCGTTTTGGTACACCCCAAATAGGTAGTTATCCCTTGGCTAGTTCTCCATGGATGGGCTATATGATGACTACAACTGCTACACAGCCAGCTGCAGCATTCGAGAATCAGGTGAGTGTGGTAATGGAAAGTGAATTATTATTTGAAGAAAAAAATGTGGGGGTATACTCTAACAAGGAATACAAAGTGAACAAATTGTGATTTATTAGACTTTATTAGCCAATATCATATGCAGGACTAGCAGCATATACCCTTTAAGGAATAGATTGGCATAAAATAACAACGGACCAAGAAATATGACCATGAAATATATTTTAATATCTGAGTTTTTATTCGTATTAGTATTTAAATCAATAAAATTAGGAATACCAATTTAGGTATAACTTCAAGCATTCCATTGTTTCAAAATTCGTATTTGAAATTCGTAATGGGTGCTAAAGCCTATGACAAAAATTTTCGTATGCAGGTCTACGTCTTCGTATAGTCCCCATGCAGCGGTTTTCAATTAAGTGGTAGTTTTCGGATTTTTATACCCTCCACCATACATAGTATGGAGGGTATATTAAGTTCGTCATTCCGTTTGTAACTCATCGAAATAATCATTTTAGACCCAACAAAGTATATATATTCTTGACCAGCGTAAAATTCTATGGCGATTTAGCAGTGTCCGTCTGTCTGTCCGTCCGTCCGTCTGTTGCAATCACGCTACAGTCTAAACGAATTAAGATAGGAAGCTAAAATTTTGCACAGATCCCTCTTTTGTCTGCAGGCAGGTCAAGTTCGAAGGTGGGCTATATCGGTCCACGATTTCGTATAGCCCCCATATAACGGTACCCCCGATATTCGGTATTTTGATGATTTTAGCCACATTTTTCAACGGAACTGTCTTAAAAATCCACACAAGGAGTTTCTTGTGGGTACTTTATCCATTGCAAGAGAATTATCTATATAGGTCCACGATATCGTATAGCCCCCATATAACGGTACCCTCCGATATTCGGTATTTTGATGATTTTAGCCCCCACACAACGGTACCCCCCGATATTCGGTATTTTGATGATTTTAGCTATATATTCCAATGATATTTTCTGAAAATCCACACAAGGATTTCTTTGTGAGCACTTTAACCCCTGAAAGGAATTTTTCTATATAGGTCCACAATATCGTATATCCCCCCATATAACGGTACCCCCGATATTCGAGATTTTTATGATTTTAAAAGAATTTTCAATGGATTTTATTTTTTTTTTTTGAAAATTTACTAATTCGTTCCAAGTGGTGGAGGGTATTCAAAGTTCGGCCTTTTTTACTTGTTTTAGCTTGACATAGCCTATATTTTTCCCATTGCCCCCTTTGTATCTTCTTAGCGTTTTAAGCTAAAATCTTAAAAGTGTCACATGACTTAGTGTTTCTGAAGTCTCTTATTTAAACAATAGGGCATTCAAGCATCTGTACTTTTCTCACATTTCTACTATTCTTGCTTATCCTGAATTGGAGTCTATTGCTTTAAGCTTTATGTTCGATTAAATACCCCATCTGTGTTTGTGTATTTTGCTTTGGGCTTGACGAATAATATTTCACTTATCCATTTTTTATATATGGGTTATACTTATTTTGGACCCCATTAGGTACATAGATTTCTGCAATTTCGCAAACATGGTGTTGGAAGGTGGATTGGTTGCATGGGTGTCCACTACTTTGTATAGCCCCCCATACAACAGTATCTCCAAATTTTGTATATGTATGCTGATGATTTTAAAGGGAATAATTTCAGTATTTTATACCAATCCTGTTGGCAACCTTACCAAGAAAGGGTGAAAGTTATCAATAAGATTTCTCAATCGAACTGTTCGAAATATGATATTCCAAGCCCTTGGTTGGTAAAAAGATTTTTCCAATTTTCCTCAGAAATAAAATTTACAGTTCGGATACCAAAACCCGTAATTTTCAAATGTGATTGCGACATGTTTCTTTTTTGCTGATGAAACAGCGAACTTAAATTTTTTTTTAATTTTTTAATTTATTTTACTTTTTCCTTTTATTGCAGTATTTACAATTGGCTTCTTCACCACAACATTTGAGCGTTTCGCCATATAAAACCGATCTAGTGAATACCCTACAGGGTCCAGGAATGTATTTGAATGGTTCGGAGGCCGTAATGCCATATGGAGCTATGATGCCACCCATGGGTCCTTTACAGGTGATTAAAAGAGTCATTCGATTTTATAAATTCTTAACAAATTGATTTGTTATATCTTTCAAATAATTAAATTTAAATTTCATTTTCTCTTTCAACACACTCACACCCATAAAAACACCTACAACAATTAACCGCATCTCTTTTCTCCTCATATTTTGTTCTTCTCTTTTCTTTTATTTCATGAATCTCCAGTATATAAGTCCCTCATATCCCTATTATGCTCCTCCAATGATTCCTACCATACCTATGACAGATTCCTCTGACCAGGCATTGAGTACTGCTGCCTCACCCAATGGGGCTGCCTATACACAATTTTTACATCCTTTAGCACCCAAGTAGATGAATGTTTTTGTTTGTTAAGGTAAGTTGGCATGGCTGGCTGAGAATTGTGGACCATGTGGAACCAGGGACGTGGTAATTGATAATTTATTTTCTTTTATTCTCTTTTTTTCAACCAACAGTTCTAAGTCTATCCATAAATGGAAAGAAACCAAAATTTATGTTTGTAACTGAAAATCGATGATGAATAAGATAAAGATAAAGTGGAAGAGGAAATGGAAGAGAAGAAATTAAAGAAATGCAGAAAGAAGAATGAAACCAATCAATGATGATGACGACGACGACGAAGATGAAGAAGAATGAGATTTTGAAAAAACGCGCTTTTTAGTAAAACAAAAATAAATGAAGAAAAAAGAAAACAAAACAAAAGCCAAACTGGGCTTTTCTTTGGCTTTTTGTCTAAAATTCATACACACATACAAACATACAACAACACACTCAATCACTTACATCATAAGTATGCAAACATCTGGCAACGTTTTATACGACGAAGAAAAATAATCAGCGTAATAACAAGAATAAGAAGAAGCAGAATAAGAGTAAACAAACATTTAAGAATAAGTCAAAACAAAAACATGCTGTAGCTTTGCCTCAAGAAGACAACAACAAACAAAAAAAAAATTATGGAAAAAAATAAAAAAAAAATATTTTTTTATTTCTCTTACAAAGAGACCAGCCAACTCTTTGTTGAGCAAATTGAGTGTCACACACAGAACCGGATGCCAGAGCTGGCCAACACAACATGCATGTGTCACTGGCTTGGCCTGGCCTGGCCCCTGCGGAAAGGACATTATCATCATCTCATCATCACCAGCATATTTTTCGCCGTAGTCAAATAGAAATGTTTCTTCGTTTCGTTCTTTCTTTCTTTCTTTGGAATACCAAGTAATCTTAAGCTGCACATTCCATCGTTTATTAGGGTCCGGGGGAGTTTGGAGTTGGTGCTGCTGCACCATCCAACAGCTCCTTGGAAAAAAAATGTTTTTTTTTATTTTAAAGTAGTCATGTGTTTTTGTAATGTTTTTTTTTTCTAGTTTTAGTAGTTTATAATAATAAATGAATTTTTTATGGTTTTTTCCTCACCTCCTTTGTTTACTGTGTTTCTTAAGCTATTTTTGTAAAATTTCCAAAAAACAAAAACAAAAAAAAATGATAAGAAAATCCCAGAAAATCCAGTAGTTCTTAAAGAAAATAAAAAAAAAAAACAAAAAAAAATCGTAGTGGTAAACCAATGATAAGCTGAAGCAAAGAAAATAATGAAGACGTAAAGCGAAATAAAAGTTTATTAAATGTAAGTGAAAAAAAGAAAAGAAAAACACACACAGAGGAAAAAACAAACCATAAATGTGGATGTATTATTTATTTTGAATAAACGGAGAAAATAAAACTTGAAAGGATATTTTTAAGTAAAACCCTGGAGTTGTGGAGAATTTGAATTTTTTATTGGGGCTTTTGGGTGGGGATTTGTTGGTAAGTACTTGCGAGTTTTGCTAAAACTATTCAATTTTTATTCTCAATAAATCAAACAAGGTAATTGAAGTTGTAAGTTTGACCAAGACGTTAAGTGACAAAAAGAAGTTATTAAGAATATTTTATTAAATTCATAATTTTATGGACAAAAAAATTATTGCAGATATTTTGGATTTATTTTTTGGAAAAAAAATTTAAAATAATAAAATCTACAAAAATATTTAATATCGCTCTACGTTTGATTAAGACCTCAAAGAGAGAAATTCGAGGACGTAAAAGGAAAGCTAAGATCTTGAAAAATGACATAAGGGTTAAGATTGGATTTTTTTGAAAATCCGTACTTTTAAGGTATGAAAGGTAGGAAACGGTACAGAATGGCACCACATTGAACGATTATAGCATTGAAATTGTGCATGGGGTCACTCATGGTACAAATAAATCAGAGTGACCTAATTTCAAATAATAATATCCAGATCTGCATTTTTCCGAAATATAATTTGTCAAAAAACTTTATTGAAAACAGTTTCCAACTCCGATTTTTGGGGATACTAAGTTATGTCAATGTTATAATAGAGAATTCTAAAATATAAAAACGTTTACATGTGTGGGGGTGAGGTACCAAGATTTTCAGAACTTTGAACATACAGTATATTAATAGGGTCTTAATTGTCCAATAATTGGTAAAAGAAATTATACATAGGAATCACTTTTGATTAAGATAAGATAGGATTTTTGGAAATTTATAATTTAATGATAAGATATATACTAAAAGGTAAGTAGAGAACTTCAGCAGATTGTTTTTTTTTTTTTTTTTTTTTTTTTGGAAATTTTTGCTAAAACGAAGTCAACATTGTGCATTTTATCAGTCCTTCCAACGACGTCAAATTGTCGCAAAAACTGTTCTTTTCAATCAAGTTATAAATGCGAAGCGGTAGGGTCATAGTTCCAAAATTTGGCTTGTTGGAGGACCCAAAGGTGGCAAGCGATAGATTTTAAGAAGTACTTTAAAAATGTATGTTGGAACTACAGTTCTGCACTTATGGATCCTATAACAGTACCTCCCTATATTGTTTTTACCTACATTATTCCAAATGGTGGAGGGTATTCAAAGATCGGCACTGCCAAACTTACTGTTTTATTAGTTGTTATAACCTCAGCCATATGGTAACGGAGGGTATTCACCATTATAAGGCCAAAAGATGCCTTTGGACAAAATCTGTTTCATGACATCTCTCACACAAAAGTTCACAATTTTGTTCTCAGATCTTGTGTTGATAGAAATATTGAGGTGTACCATGTCTGAATGGAATCGGATGTTAATTTCGTCCTTTAAGAGCTTCATTAATATTCAAAATATCGACCCTTTGTGGGGAAGGTACCAGAAGGAGTCGACCGATATATTCCATATTCACGCCAGAGCTTGGGTTAATAAAAATATTCTGAAGTATATAATGTGAAGACAATCGGACTCTTACATCACATTTTATAAGAGTTTTAATTATTCGAAATGTTGACCCTATGTGGGGCTGGTACTTGATGGGTTGGACTGATATTGTCAATTTTCTCACCAGATTTAACACTGATGCATATATTAGGATTTGCAAAGTTAGAGCATAATTGGATTTTGCTTTCTCTCCCTGTGCAGTATTTTTTTTTTTTTTTAAATTTGGAAGTTTTGTAGGGTAGGTACCAGAATGAGTGGACCGATATTGTCCATCTCCGAACTCGATCTATGTTTTTTTTTTTTATTTCGTTGAGGCACGTTTTGGCCGTATCAAATGATATATACCTTCTCTAGCCATATGGCTGAGGGTATACAAATCTAGAAAAATCTGGCTAAAATGATCAAAATACTCAATATGGGGTGGCTCTGCAGGAAATCGTGCAATGTTTTGCCACCTGAACTAGGACCCATTATGATACAAATACCAAATTATAGACAATTCCGTTAGAAAATGTAACTTGAATCGTAAGAACAAACAACATTTGAAGGTATGGGGTGCTATAGTAATAATAGTATAGCGTGGACCTTTACAGACAATGTTCTGGCACCAAAGTCAGTACCCGTTATAAACTCTTTATGGCAAATTTGGAACAATTCCGTGGAAAAATTTGGCAAAAATCATCAAAATACCAAATATCGGGAGGTACCGTTATATGGGGGCTATACCAAAGCGTGGACCCATACATACAATATTTCGCCACAGATAAATGCGTGAAAAAATGTGGCAAATATCATCAAAATACCGAATATCGGGATGTGCCGTTATATGGGGACTATACCAAAACGTGAACCGATATACGGCATTTTCAATACCAACCATCCTTGACACAATACAAATTGTTCTGCTAAATTTTGACGCTCTACATCAAATAATGTGAGCTGTATCCTGATTTAGACAGACAGACAGACGGACATCGTTAAATCGACTTAGAATTTTATGCTGATTGTGATGTTGGGGATGTTACAAATGGAATGACAAAGTTAATATACCCTCCTTTGCAAGGTGGAGGGTATAAAAACTAAGAGAAATTGGACTGGTGGACGAGGTCTTGTTTTTGAGCTGCGCTAATAAATATAAAGAAACATACATTTTTGTTTTTGTCTTTTTTGGACTCATGTGCTACCACACGATTTTGAGCAGTGCTGCTTATTATCTGTCATGAGTGAAAGATCAATTAACAGACAAATACGAATAATTTTCAACATATTTTTCTATAAAATCATTTTTGAGGTAATTTGCATTATCTTTAATCTTCAATATTATTAAATATGCAAAAATTCAACGCAGGAAACTTATTTCAACATTTTCTTAATCATTTCTCTTTCATTTGTTTTTTTTTTTTTTGCCCATCTATGTTAAAACCATCAACACATGAAGTGTCCCATATGTTCTATGTTAAAAATATGTTATTTGATTACATAGTCCTGTTATTGTTAAATCCCTGTAAACTTGGGGATACCAAAACATTACCAAATTTCAATAACATTTTCTGTTAGCCCCACGGCTTAGTTTACATTTCACTAACATGTTCCTTAACATTTCCAGGTAGATTGGTGCAGTTCTGTTATGTTATCACGAACGCTATGTACCCATACAATTGTTGTTTTGCATTTTGTTTTGTTTATTTTACTTCATTTCCACTCTGTGCATATTCTCTTTGTAACCGCAACCGGCGAGACGAGGTGTTGCAAGAATAAAATTGCCATCAATGGGTTGTTGGGGGAAGTGCACAGCAGCCATGTAGAAATGTTTGTCTCTCCCTATTGGGTTGTTGTTATTTGAAGCCAGCCAGTCGAAGTAATCAAGAGGCCACAAGAAAAACAAAAACAAATTCTGGCAAAACACCATTACAATTCGTCACATAAATCTTTCGTGGCCATTCAAGTGAAAGAGTAAATTGTTTTGTTTGTCGTGAGAGAGCATTGCATCATTGTAATAATTGAATTATTTACAAAAATCAATCAAATTTTGTAATAAGAAAAGACTAAAGAAGATGTGTGTATGTGCCTCCTATTGGGTGGGGGTTGTGGGCAGCGGGCGAGAAATGAATGTGAATGCCAAAGATGCGAAGCAGACATGCAAACAATGTAAAAAGAAGAGAAAGAACAGGTGCAGCAGGGTGGAGAAGCATCAGACAAAGGAGGAAAAACATACGGTTATTAGGGGTGTCAATGCCTCAAGAAGACCCTTTGGTGTTGTTTTTGTACGAATAAGTGCAATGAAACCAATTATTCCATTCATTGTTTATTATTTACAAATAGGTATCAATTTCAATGGAATCCATTCTGTCATCTTATAAATCAAACAAAAATTCACAAAAAACATACAAAATAAAGAGAAATTGAGATAAGACGAATGAATGAAACTGAACAACATAGTAGACGATAGTAATTGAACGGTATATTTTGGGGTTTATGACACTGTCGTCATCGTCGCCGCATTGCTTGTTTGTCTGATTGTTGTTTCTGCATTGGGTGCTCGCATAGGTCCCCAGACGTTTTTAATTCACAATAACAACAAAATGCTCCCGCCTCTCATTGCATTCGCTCTTCCCTCTCACATGTTTTGCTGTTTACTTGCAATTTCTTTCTACTGCACAGAGTTGCCATTCTAATAGCTGGTTGGTTGATTTCGGTGAATTATTCATCTTCGCTGCTTCGAAGATGAAAATTTATTATTATATTTAATTCAAGTTAGTAAAAAACTTTAGATAATTCAATTTAAATTTATTTCCAAAATATTGCAAGTGTTTAGTAACAATTCATATGGATTTAGAGAAGGTTTCATTGATATAAGAAAAATCTGAAATAAACATCAGGTTTTAAAATTTTCTGTTAACTTTCTTAATCTGATATGTACTGTCTCAATATTAGCTAGTTCATATAATCTTGCTTAAGTAGTTTATTTTAAGCGGCTTGTAGCCTTTTAATGTGTGAAGCTGCACTAGTAGACTATAAAGGAGCTGCATATTATTATACCCTCCACCATACATAGTATGGAGGGTATATTAAGTTCGTCATTCCGTTTGTAACTCATCGAAAAAATCATTTTAGGCCCAACAAAGTGTATATATTCTTGATCAGCGTAAAATTCTAAGACGATTTAGCCCTGTCCGTCCGTCTGTTGTAATCACTCTACAGTCAAAACAAATTAAGATAGGAAGCTAAAATTTTGCACAGATATCTCTTTTGTCTGGGGGCAGGTTAAGTTCGAAGATGGGCTATATCGATCCACGATATCGTATTGCCCCCATATAACGGTACCCCGATATTCGGTATCTTGATGATTTTAGCCACATTTTCCAATGGAATGGTCTGAAAATCCACACAAGGAGTTCCTTGGGAGTACTTTATCCCTTGGAAGAGAATTATATATATGCGTTCACGATATCGTATAGGCCCCATATAATTGTACCTCCCCGATATTCGGTATTTTGATGATTTTAGCCACATTTTTCAATGGAATTGTCTGATATTCCACACAAGGAATTCTTTGTGAGTACTTTACCCTCTGAAAGAGAATTATATATATAGGTCCACTATATCGTATAGCCCCCATATAATTTTACCTCCCCGATATTCGGTATTTTGATGATTTTAGCAACATTTTTCAATGGAATTGTCTGATATTCCACACAAGGAATTCTTTGTGAGTATTTTACCCCCAGACACAGATTTGTCAATATAGGTCCACAATATCGTATACCCCCATATGTAGGCATCTTCCGATGTTAGGTATTTCAAAGATTTTAACAGAATTTTATTTTTTGAAAATTTTCTAATTCGTTCCAAATGGTGGAGGGTATTCAAAGTTCGGCGGGACGTGCATTAAAGCTAATTCCATGGACCAAACTGTTTAGATTATATTTTGGAAGTAAAATCCAGGATTTTCGTTGTTGCATGTAATTTTGGAAGGAAAAAAGCTTAGCCTTAGGGCTGCATTTCTGTTGTTTTACGAAGTTGTTCTACATCCTTATCTGTGATCTTCCACAAATCAAAGGGTCATTATATATAATATATAAGAAATATAATATATATAATATAGAATATAAGAAAAATGGAAACGTCCGGATTTTAACATATATAGTATATTATGCCTTGGACCAATATTTCGAGGTGTTACATTACCGAACACAGATTTATAAGGTCGCAGTCGTTCTACAGGCCACAATTAAAAACCAATCGATACGTAATTATGCATGACGTTAGAGTTCAGGACAGGGCAGAAGTCTTGAATTTTGGACGATCATTGGATTATATTCAGCGGATCACTCCTTTCGTTTGAATTTGTTTTTAATATCAGCGCGACAGAGAGCGAAAATAGGACCAAAAAGCGAAGGTAACATTTGAGCGGTGCTGTATGGTACTATTTAAAAAAAATGAAATATACCAAAATGGATTAAAGCCTAAAGGGACTTCCCAATGTATTATGGTATTGTAGGATATCACATGAACTCCCCAACACGACGATAGCCTTTGCTTTCTTTTTTAATATAATTCATATAACCATGCTTGATTTTTAAGAGCCCCGAAAGCATACAAATTGTGCTTTAGGGGAATTTTAATAATATTTGGGGTAGGGACCGGGTATTTGTGGGTGAGCGTCGGATAAAAACAAGTGAGAAAGATCTAGAATTGCGATATTAGTATCGGGAGTGACGTCGGCATTTGGGATATTTGCGACTTGAAGGTAATTGGCTTTAAGAAAAACCTATTCCCGGCTAACGATTCTGTTATTCGGGTGACAGAAAATCACTAACGCCGTAACCAATTCCAATCTCAATAAATATATGAAAGGCATTATTGCAATGTGAATGAAAAATATTTGTCTTATGAGTTAAGCGGTTTGGCTATAACCCTGTTATAAGAGCTCTATATTCATTTCCATTCAAATTAGCATTGAGGCAGTCGCAGAGTTTTCAGCCTCTTTTCCTGTTTATTCTGGGATTTTGATTAAATCGCCATTCGGAGGCTGCTCCAAGACCAGCAACACTTAGAGAGTTTCCTTCAGAAGGAGGGGTAAAAATTTCGATTAACAAGAAAATATTGAAAAACAAGTAAAAAAGCAGGCCGGGCCGAACTTTGAATACCCTACACCATTTGTAACGAATTAGAAAATTTTCAAAAAATAAAATCCATTAAAAATTCTTTTAAAATCTTTAAATTACCTAAAATCGGAATGTGGTGATATATGGGGAGATATACGATATTGTGGACCTATATAGACAAATCTATGTCTGGGGGTAAAGTACTCACAAGGAACTTCTTGTGTGGATTTTCAGATAATTCCATTGCAAAATGTGGATAAAATTATCAAAATCCCGAATATCGTTATATGTTGGCTATACGATATCGTGGACCTATACAGATAATTCTCTTCCAAGGGATAAAGAACTCACAAGGAACTGCTTGTGTGGAATTTCAGCCAATACCATTGGAAAATGTGGCTAAAATCAACAAAATACCGAATATCGGGGGTACCGTTATTTGGGGGCTATACGATACCTTGGACCTATATTAATAATTCTCTTTCAGGAGGTAAAATACTCACAAGGAAAATCATCAAAATACCGAATATGGGGGGTACCTTTATATGGGGGCTATACGATATCGTGGACCGATATAGCCCATCTTCGAACTTGACCTGCCTGCAGACAAAAAAGAGATCTGTGCAAAATTGTGGCTTCCTATCTTATCTTATATCTTTAGACTGTAGCGTGTTTACAAAATCGTCTTAGAATTTTACGCTGATCAAGAATATATATACTTTGTTGGGTCTAAAATGATTATATCGATGAGTTACAAACGGAATGACGAACTTAATATACCCTCCGTACTATGTATGGCGGATGGTATAAAAAACACGTTTTCCTAGGATATGGAATAAATAACTCCGCGGAACTCCGGAAATAAGAGGAAATTTATAAATTTTGTTAAACATACCACTCGTCATACACAAATACATCCTTTAATAATATCGTTTTCCAAATATCCCAATCTTTTAGTTTGAGTCACTTAAAATACCCAATCTACTCTGAATCTATCTCTACGATATCTAGTGTTAGATTTACGTTAAAAATTTTGCTTTGTTCCAGAACTGGAAGAATGTAAAATTTACTACTCTAATCAATTTTTTTTTATAAAAAAAAAAAAAAAAAATGCAAAAGTGGTAGATTCTGGAACAGACCATTTTATTTCATAACAATTTTTTCTTTCTCAATCCACCATTCCTATGTGCAACACATGCTTTGGCAACTCTGCTGCATAGAAGTCCTACTATTGTTAGTATTTCGCTGTCATTGTCCTCAGTTGCAAGCCAAACAACATATCATAACACAGTGGCAAATCATAAACAATTAGCAAAACAGAAATTCATTTCAAAGTGCTCAAAATAAAATATAAACAAATTGTTTTTTGCAAAAAACAACACAAATTGTATTCTATTTTTATGTCAATCGAAGGAAAATTACAGAAAAAAATCAAATAAACGTAAACAAAGACTGTTAAATGTGAATTCTTCCAAAGAGACTGTTATTGTGTGCCTCCTTCTCCAGTAGAAAGAACAAAGTACTGAGTGATATAACGTTTTTTTATTCTCTAATCAGAAAAAAAGAAAACTAAAATAAGAAACGAAATCCATAAATCTTCCAGCTAAATTATCATCTGCAATATTTTTGAATTTGTGCAAATACTACCTATAACAAATTAGAAACCCCCAAGGCAATTAATGTCGCGAAGTGAATGATTCCCAGTCATTGTCTATCCCCCTATACCCCCACAACACACATAAACGAAAAAGGTGAATTCATTCTGTATAAAGTGCATAAAAAAAACAAAAAACCGCAAAAGTCTCACAAATAAACAAAACAAAACAGCAAATATAAAACATAACAAGAAAAGATAGAGGCAAAGGCGAAAACGACGAAGAAAACAAAACAAACAATTATAAACAAAAACAACGCCCGTTGCAAAGCTCCAATGTGCTCTCCCCTGGTTATTGACTTTCGTGTTGCTGTCTCTTAAAAATAGTGCTCTTTGTTCTTGTGTGTTATCTTCTAAGGTGACTGACTACGTGCGTTCTCTTAATTCATTCATTCGTGTTTGCCGGTTAACTTTTGACATTTTACCTCGTCGTGTGTACGTTGTGTTGTCGCGAGTGCGTGAGTTCGTGTGTGTGTTTGTGTTCAATTGATGATTTGTAAATAATACCGTCGTGGTGTTTGAAAGTTTTGTGTGGATTTTTAAGCGTTTTGCATAGTTTCCCCCCTCGCCCACTCTGTAATATCATAATCAAGTTTGTGCGTGAGTTTGTTTGTCTTTTTTGTGTGTGACAAAGCACCTCCACATAGCCGCCCTTTGTTTGTGTTTCTTGTTGTTGCTGTTTTATGCCACGGTAATTAAAAGAACCCCGTGTTTAAAAAGAGTTTAAACTACTCGCAAATCGCATTCATTCATCCCCACATCAGCGACGAGCTTTGTTGCTGCATTAAAATCTTAATTGGTTTAACTAGTGGCGCTGACTGTCGCTCTTTACTCCTCCTCTAATCGTCGCCGACAATATTGGTAAGTGTTGATGATAAGTGCCATGAAAAATATCGCTTTTGTTAATTATGCGGAATTAATTTGTTGTAGTCCCCATCCTCGTCATCGGCATCGTCGTCTTCGTCGCTGCCTGGCTGGTGTGATAATGACGATGATAGTAGTGACGTTATTTGATAGTTTAAATTGTTTTTGTGCCGTTAATTGGGGTTAGTTGGGGTTTATTGTGTGATGCCAGACATTTACATTTATGTTAGATGCTATCGCCGACAACGCTACGACGATGTGTTAGATAGGCTATTATGAATTACCAGACGCTATAAATAATGAACTAGACACATTATTTTAAACACAAGACAAACTATTGGATACCCGTTTGTTATAAACAAAAAATTTACAGATTTTAAATAGATTTTGCCGGGATCGACAAATAACATTCTGGCAGCCATAAAGGGATATGTTTAAGGGTACAAATGTGGTACAGCTGGATCGAAAGAGCAATTTGGTATTAAAACAAGAAAAAAATTAAGTTCGGCCGGGCCAAACTTTTAATCCCCTCCACCTTAGGGTAAAAGAAACATTAGAACCCATTATGATCCACAAATACAAATTTTTAGATATATACATGGGAAAATGTGCCAAAAATCATCAAAATACCTAATATCGGGAAACACGGCTATATGGGGCAAAAACGTGGACCTATACATACAATGTTTCGCCAAAGGAGCTAGAAACCATTATAACTTAAACAAAATTTTGACCCTTTGTGTAGGAGATACCAGAAGGAGTGATCCGACACATTCCATCTTTCCACCTGGCCTTGTGTTAATAGAAATATTGGAATGTGTTGTGTGGGAGGTTAATGATAGAATAGACCGATATTATCCATTTTCGCACCTGACCTAGCACTAATAAAAATATTGGGATTTGCCAAAGTCGAACGGACATTCCTAGATTGACTCCAAATGTCCTAAAACGGATTTATTCCAAATGGACCCCTGATTTAAAACCGGTATTTCGATGAGGTACGATTTGGCCCCATTAAATGATATATATACTCTATAGCGATATGACTTAGGGTGTAAAAAAAAACTACACATACCTTTTACACTCAGCACATGAACACCTAATAAAATACATTTACCTTTTTGAAGGACATACCATAAATAGTGGATCTACAGTGTGAGATGAAAACACTGCAACCCACTTCAGACTGCTATCATTTCTAGGCCACTCGTCCGACAGCTGTTAAAATTATTCCAGTGACAGCTCTTTATATTGTTTACAAGTGTGCAAAAGCATTTTGGTGAGAATTTTCCGGAAAAAAAGTTATTCGTGATGAAATTCAAGCGTGATAGTGTGATTTCTTTATATTTGGCTGAAAAAGCACAACAGCACTCCAGCATTTAAATGTGAATAAATCTTTTGTGCCTCGTACCATCGCTCGTTACCATGATACTGGTAGTGTAGACCGACGTCAAGGCAGTGGACGGAAGAAAACAGCAACATCAGTAGAAATGGTTCGAAAAGTAAAGAAGCGACTTGATTGAAAACCGTGTCGCAGTGGCCAATATTCCATTCGGCAAGTATTGAAAAATGAGCTCGGAGTAAAGCCATTGAAATAGACTCAAAAGACCTAAAGAGTAGTGAACTGCCTCATTTGGTTTTGTTCGATGATAAAACATTCGTTGTCCAGCAGTTTGCAAACAAAATAATCATGTTTACTTGCCAAAGAGGCCAGCTAAAAATGTGCACCTTTGTTTGGTCAACATATGGTGTGGGCCGCCATAACAGCCGATGGTCGCTCTCCGCTCGAATTAATCGACCGTGGCATCAGATTAAATGCTGAATATTATCGCAAAAATATACTGGAGGGTGTTTTAAAGCCTTGGACACGCAAACATTTTGGCCGTAGACCTTGGACATTCCAACAGGACTCAACACCATCGCACTCAGCACGCGCCACCCAAGAATGGTTACAAAATGAGGTTTCTCGCTTCATTTCCAGGGCACAATTGCTACCAAAATCTCCGGTTACCAATCCGTTGGACTATTGTGTATGGAGTATTTTGGGAAGCCAGTTGGCACTAAAAAATACTAAAGTGTCGATCACCTTAAGCAAGCTCTTCGCCGGGAATTGTTCAAAATACCTCAGAGCAACATTCGGGCAGCATGTGACGGTTGAAGGCCATAATTCGTGCCAAAGGTGACCAATTCGAACAAATCTAAACTTATTCTAATATTTGATGCTATTCCGACATTGTTTGCTTTATTCAATAAAATTAAAAAAATGTAAAAATTATGGCGTTTGACGTTGTTGTATTTTTTTTTTATCTCACTCTGTATTTAAATAACTGAATATTGTCAGCTGTCGACAGTACCAACTGATTTTATTTAACCTTTTCTAAATAATTTATGAATTTCGATTTAATATTTGAGCATTCTAGAAGTCATACCAAGAACCCCATATAAATGAAATTTTATTCGATATAGCTTTCGTATTCGGATTTCAAATTTAAACCGTTCCAAAGCATTAATACGCAATTGATACTTTAATTGTCAATATGGACGTAGGTATTCTTAGTGATAGTGGATATCCTAAAGTTGACAACGTCCGCCTTTTGTAGTTCCTTACTGGTTTCCTTCATGTTGAGAGTGTAATCTATAATGTTTATTTTTAATTTTATTCGTACCCTAACAGTAATTGAAACCATTTTTCTTTTCAGACATTTTCTGCGAAAGATGCATCAACCACGCTATAGTCCAGCACCAATTGTGCCCCCCACAATGAATCCCATGACACATCCGGGTGTTGCCATGAGACCACCACTGCAGCAGCCACAAATGCGTCCTCAAAATTTTTCAAATGTAAGTATTATTTAATTCTATGATGTTCGAATGTTTTGAATATACGTAAATATATTTTAAATGTGTCAACTACGCTTGGGAAAGACTATTCCAAAAGACTCACACATGAATTTCGTTATAAAATGTAATTTAAATATTTTCCAGAGGAATTCTTATGAAAACGCAAATTTTAAGCCTTTCTAAAATAATTTTAGTTTCTTACTGTGATTTTTTATTTTATTTAAATACACATGTATGCATTTATTTGGAAAAATCGCAAATAGAGCTTCTCTTCAAAAACACCCATAACATCTCCAAAAGAAATTCAAAGTTTCTCTCCACACGCTGCCTGTGTCTGCATCATTTATTTGTGGAAGTTTTAATTATGCTCTAAATTATTATTAATTACATGGTGCAATATTTTTATTGTTATTATGCTCCTCGAGCTGCCGCTATTGCTGCTGCTGGCAGGAAGAAATTACCACATAAAGAATGTCTCGCACTCTCGCCCTCTCTTGTGTAACATTTATATCATTTATTCAGCCAGCACAGAACGCTTCGACGTTGTTGCGTAGGAAGCCAATTCAGTTTTGTTGGCAGAGGAAGAACTTAATAACTTCTTGACATTATTGGCTGCCTCTGGTTGAAGCGTTCGTTCGTTGTTGCTGCCTCAATATCACAATATTATGTCTTCGAAGGAAGTTTTCATTAAAAATGTACTCCCCTTTATGCCAAGTATATTGAAGTTTTTTTCTTTTCGTTTTATTTAAATGTCGTTGAAGCAAAGAGTATGATGTATTTGTTGTCAGTTTGATTTGAAGAAAAATGTCCCGTGAATACCACAATAGTGTTTGTCGATGGAGCTGTAACTGTAATTTGGTCGAACTGTTGTTACGGCTTTAAATGTCTCGACCGTTTCTCTTTGATTTTGATTCTCAATTTCATTTATCGTTATTTAGCTGTAGTATTTTAAATTTACCTGGATTGTGCTCTTACTTGTTGCTCTGGTACTTATTTCAGGCTAAATTTCATGAGGATCGGGCTACAATTGTGACCTGTAGTGTATCGATGTATTAGGATTTGGAAATGTTTTAGGTCCCATAAAACTAATAATAACCCCGATACAAAATTTTGTACGGCATACAAAACCGCAACCACATTTTTATATATCCTCGTGTATCGGGTAGATTTTGCTTGGATTGTTTGCTTGAGTGCTTATTAAGGTCCCGTACAACTATTTTCTAGTATTCATTAAGGACTATTCCAGCCTTGCATATCGTCGTAGATTCCTTCTTGAGTGCTCAATAATACCGCCCTTGCTTGATTGATTATTAAGGTATTTTGCTCCTTGCTACCTTCCCAGGATATATAATGAGAAATAGAGTATATATCTGGGTCTTGGATAGTCGACCAGCCCGACCCGACTTTCTTGTCCTATTTATAGGAGAAATATTATAAAGGATATTAGAAGAACCATTGCCCAATGGACACACATCAAATTTTTCTGTCCAAAACTAATTCAACGTCTCCATATGTTTACCCTTGAAACCAACAGTTATCTTAATATCAAATTTGAGGATTCCAGCCCTATTCCTTCACCCGAAACCAAATTTGGTAACATTTAGTACTCTTCGTACAATTATATAACACATTTTTGAAACCACCACCATATGTCTACACATTAACAGCGACCCTAATATCAAATTTCAGATTTCAAGCATTATCTGTACACCCAATCCCAGATTGTACAAAATATAGTACTATTTAGTACTTTTTGTGCACATATAGTATACATTTTTGAAACCACCTTTTCATCATAATTCTACCACTTATACGGACCCCAATACAAAGTTACGAACATTCAATACACATTTCCAAAACAACCTGTATGCCAAAATTTTCAAATTTCAAATTTTGAACGAAAATGGTACCAAATGTAGTACAATTTAGTATTTTTAATATACTTAATTTCCAAAAACCCACTGTGCATGCATCGTAAACTCCATTAGTGACCCTTATTACAAATTTGAGAGTTCTGGGCTACAAAGTCAAGCGCTACAATTTTTACATTCTTTTTTTATTTTTTTTTTTTTTAAATGAAAGCAGAAAATGTCGGAAATAGCATCAAATTTTGGAATAAGATTACGGAAACGAAATCTTCACACGCTGCCCGAATGTTGCTCTGCGGTATTTTGGCCCATTCCCGGTGAAGCGCTTGCTTGAGGTGATCGACACTTTGGAATTTTTTAGTGCCAACCTTACTTTCCAAAATACCCCAGACACAAAAATCCAATGGATTGGTATCCGGAGATTTTGGTGCCCATTGTGCGATGGAAATGAAGGGAGGAAGCTCATTTTGTAACCATTTTTGGGTGGCGAGTGCTGAGTGCGATGGTGCTGAGTCCTGTTGGAATGTCCAAGGTCTGCGGGCAAAATGTTTGCGTGCCCATAATGTTTGCGTGCGATAATATTCGGCATTTATTCTGATGCCACGGTCAATTAATATGAGCTGAGAGCGACCATCGGCTTTTATGGCGGCCCACACCATCTCCATGGCCGGCGCTTGAGTTCTGGTGATCAACCGAAGGTGCATATTTTCAGCTGAAAATGAATGCGTTCTCGTCAGAGAAAATTAAATTCGGCAGTTCACCACTTTCGGCCAAACGATACAACTCTTTAGCTCTTTTAGGTCTATTTTCTTTCTGTTGCGGTGTAAGTTCTTGCATTTTTTTTTGTAATTTCAATGGCTTTACCCCGAGCTCTTTTTTTAATATTTGCCGAATGGAATATTGAGATATGTTCAGCTCACGCCATTTTTCGGCCACTGCGACATGGGTTTTATTCTTCTTTACTTTTCGAGCCATTTCTGCTGATGTTGTTGTTTTCTTCCGTCCACTTTCTCGACGTCAGGCTACGCTACCAGTATCACGGTAATCACGAGCGATGGTACGAGACACAAACGATTTATTCACATTTAAATGCTGGAGTGCTAGATCGATAGCTGTTTGTGACTTTCCAGCCAGGCGCCGACCAAGCACATGGCCACGGATAAGATTTCTAATCTGGTTGGAGAGTTGACTCTGCTGACGTTCCTAGACGTGGTATGCGAAAGCAGAGAGAAAACTGTCCGTCCTTCTCAAAGAAACCAAGACCCTGGTATTCAGCCGGGAGACCATTCCATCTGGTTTTGTGAATGGCTGACCTCTCTCAGAAGCTGTGGTGAGGTCAAACCTCGAGGAAGGGGAATCACCGACATGCACCGATGAGGTTAATCTCCAGATTCAGGATGCCATGGCTGAAGGTGATGTGGTGGGTACCATAACCACCAATATCCCGCGGTGGCTTCGACTTAAGGGTAGCAAAGGCTAAGAGTGGTTATAAGAGGTCGGTGAAGTACTGCAGAAAGTTCATCCAATGAGACCCCCTCAAGTTAGAGAGGGAAAAGGAGAGGGAAAAAATTCTAATCAGGACGAACCTTAAGGCTGTGTGGAATTTCGAAAAGAACCACCTGCATTCGTTTGAGAAGGAGTTTATCTTCCTCCTTACTGACCTCGTAAAGAAGGTAAATCTACTTGTGTCACACACTATCACGCTTGAATAAGTTTCGAGAATAACTTTTTTCCTGGATAATTCTCACCAAAATGCTCTTGTACGCTTGTAAACAATATTATGAGCTGTCGCTGGAGTAATTTTAACAGCTGTCGGACGAGTGGCTTAAAAATGACAGCAGCCTGAAGTTGGTTGCAATTTTTTCGTCTCACCCTGTACAAACGATTTTGAGCAACGTTGTCCTAGTTTGTAATAGTATATTATTATAGCTTATCACCCTACCTAAATGCAGATACTGAATCTACCGAACACCTGGTGTGAGACTTCCCTCGAGCTTCTAATTTTAGTTTCTTCTAGTTTTTAGTCTCGGCGATTAAAAAATAGTTTATTGAATATAAAATTTCATTATATGGACTAATATTCATTTCTGAAACACCCCTCGTAACCCATTACCAAGTTAGCTAGTTTGTCATAAACACACATGTGCATGTATGCATACATATGCGTGTGTGTGTCTATGAAATCATGATTTAATGATATTGACTTTTATGACTTCCCTCTTAATTGTTAGATGTTTGTTGGGATAATTAAAAATATTTAATTTTTGCTTTTATGTCATAATAATTTCAATACAATAACGGTGAACGGAGACGAGCGTATGTGTGTGTAAGCGAGCGAGCGGTGTTGTGGATACAATTGTGACAGCGCCGAACATAACGCCATTTGATTATGGCAACTAATTTTTTGAGGGAAAACAGAAACTTTTGTGGTCGAAGTCTAGGCGGAATTTGTTCCCCCGCCCAGCCGAAACATTTGGATGAAGTTCATTAAACGAACCCCCCTCCCCATTTCTCTTTTCCCCTGTGTGCATGCCTGCCTCCACGCCAGCATATCCTTTGGCCCAGCACAGTTAATGAGCATATAAAGAAATCATAAATAATTTTTGTGATTTAATTTCGAACCAAGGGCACATGGTTGTGTGTGTGTGTGCGTGTGCTTATAATGTGTTTATTTGATTGCTGCCACTAACAACAGAAACAACCTCGAAGCCCCATAGAATTCATAGACCACCAACAACCACATTTTGAATATTTGTGGTTAGATTGGAATGTGAATAGGTTTTATACTCTCCTGCCAAACTTTGACCATAAATAAGTAATAATCATTAAAATGTGTTACAGATAATTATTATGGATGTATGTGAGTGTGTATGTGTGTGAAGTCTGTCTTTTTTGTATATGTATTTTATTCTCGGTTTCTATCTAAACATAATCAATAATTTGGCAGATGGATGTTTATTTGCTTTTTGCTAATGGACTTTCGGCATTGAGATTAGTTTTTTTTGTTTGTTTGTTTGCACACATAAATAATATAAAATATAACTATCAAAAGTTATTGCATGGAAATGTATGATGAACTGCAGTGGTTGGAAAAAGGGGGAAATTAAAAAAAAAAATACAAATGATTACCTT